TGTCATATATAAATGAATCAATCGTGAATCCATAATACAGTCAAATAACAAATTAGAAACGATAATATTATCCATGATACCTAATACAAATACAATATTATTGTTTATATCATAATCTTCATTCCTTTATTGCATCATTTATTGCAATGTCGTATGTGCCTTAGATAGAATGACATCTACAATAGTCCTCTCAAGAGTGTCTTCCAAAAAATTTCATCTATATATATCTGCTCACGCAAGATCCATAATATGATGACATGCAGGTAACATATCAACAACATGATCTTTCCTAATTTGCTTCTCCTCTAATAACTCCTGATGAGCTTACCTAAGTGGATCTCCCTGAGCATTTAGTGTCATATCAAGATGTGACACTCTAAAATGCCACAAGATATAGACAAATGCACTGCTTTATTTGTTAGGAGCTACAATATCTCATGCTTTAGTTGGTACCAAATGATTAAGGAAATCATCATACATGACATCTACATCTTTGTGAACCATAGTAGGAGGAGTAGACACGAAGAGTTATCTTGAAACAACTTACATATTTCCAAACTGGCACTTGACTCACTCATGCAGATGTGAATACATCGAACGCGATCCACAAGTCAACCATTTAGAGTACAAGACTATGTCATCAAAGAGATGCGTTTGATGGTGATCGTCGTACAGTCGAAAATGTATATCATATATTGTTGTGCAGTCAAGAAAAATGTAACTGCTTGATCAACTAATTCCCTCTGAGCGGGACAGATGCTCAAGCATGTAGTTGATCCTTATTGTAGCCATCAACAAATGACCAGTTGGAGATGCGTCGAAAGTGTTGGAGGTTCCATGCCTGAAAATGATAGACATGAAATACTAGTAATGTGTAGTTGATGTTGAGCACTTCGATTGATTGGATCTTGAGAGTAGAAATTGGCAAACTATTTAGATTGGATTGAGTAGAAAGAAAACTTGGATTAGCTTTGCTTCATTTCTTGGCCATCCACCGGAAGTTTCGGGTTTGACACTAATATTTTAGCAACAAATCTAATAAATCTAAGTGCAGTGCTAGGTGTATTGATCTTTTTGGGAAAGGGAGTGTGTGCGAGTTGTTTATTTCAAAAAATAGATTGGATTCAATCAATTGGAAGTGAGGAATGGAAGTGAGAAAATTTTTAAAGTGATTTGACTGGAAATGAGGATAGGGGAGAGTCTGGCATGATTTTGATTAAAATTTCGTCTAGAGGTGCATTTTCTTAAGGTATCCAAAGATATATTTATCTATTAATTTTTATAAAAATGTGAGGGTCTGACTCGCCTACGAATAAACTGAATGTAGGTTGGGATACGTTGAAAGTAGATTTTCAAATTCATAAACAAATTTGGTTTTTCATAAGGGTGCATTAGCACCCCGTTAAGGTAACGCATCCCTTAAGGTGGGAAGAGTAATCCTTTTTTTTAATTCAAATTTATTCATATTTAATTTTAAATTTTGCATTTACAAACATTTATTTTCTTATAATCAAATATATTAAGTTAGAAAAAAATTTACCTTATACCCTTACCTCTGTCCTTATATCCCTGCATTTTATATATAAAAAATACAGATTTTATTGTATATTTTTAACTACTTTATTATTTTATTTTTTAAATTTTATTATGCATATTAGCAGACTTTGCAAAAGAGTTTCAGTGGTCATTTTTCAAGCATTTTTTAACTTCTTTTTTGTGTACCGTAAGACTTTGCAAAAGAGTTTTGGTAATCAATTTTTGTGTATCAGAAGACTATGTAAAAGAGTTTCACTAATCAATTTTTAAATTTTTTAGAACCTTTTTTGTGTATACCGGAAGACTTTGCAAAAGAGTTTCGGTAGTCATATTTTGTGTACCGGAAGACCCTATAAAAGAGTTTCGGTAGTAATTTTTTAAAATATTTTTTAACTTTTATTTTTGCGTACCAGAAAATTTCGCAAAAGAGTTCTGGTAGACAATTTTTGTGTATCAGAAGACTTTGCAAAAGAGTTTCAGTAGTCAATTTTCAAATTTGTTTTAACTTTTTTATTGTGCCAGAAGATTTTGCAAAAGAGTTTCGGTAATCAATTTTTATATACTTGAAGACTTTGCGTACGAGATTCGATAGCCGTTTTTTAAATATTTTTTAATTTTTATTTTGTGTATCAAAAGACTTTAATCAATTTTTATAATATTTTTTAGCTTTTAATAAATTATTTATATAAAAACATTTTAGTAAACAAAATTATGAGGTAGAGGTAGAGGAATAAATGATGGGTATAGACTAAAAAGTTCTAAATTAGATATGGGTTCAAGCGATAGCCCAACCCATGTGAATATAGGAAGTTTTACCCCATACCCCTACACTTATACTTATACCCCTACATTAAAAAAATTTGGACCAAAATATCCTCCTATAAAAATTTATTATTTTTTAATTTTTTAATTTTTTTTATATTTTTTTATTTGTTTACCGGAAGACTTTTTGGAAGTCTTCCGGTTCATATTTTTTTAGTATCCGGTTCATGTTTTTTTTTTTTAATTTGTAATTAATATTTAAGATTTATTAATTTTATATAAAGACCAATTTAGTAAATTTTTGAATATTATACTTAAAATATAAAAATTCTATAAATAGAGAATCATTTTCAGAATATTTTCTATTTACTATAATTATTAGAATACTGGGATTAAAATCATTTATTTTAAATGATCATAATAGTAGAATTTTCTCAAATATCTTATTAATCTTAAACATTAATAAATAAATTAAATAGAAAATATAAGATATAAGTTTACATTATTCAATATATTTAATCAAATGAAAACATATGTGATAAATAAATAATGTATTTTAACTTAAAATGATCACAATAAGTTAACTTGCAAAATAATATAAGTAATAAATTAATAATATATTTTATTTAAAATAATCACAATAATAAAATACGCAAATAATGTGTTTTATTTATAGGACTAATATAATTTTATTGATTATTTAATTTTGAATACTACTATGAATATAGTATTTAATCTATACTTTAGAACTCACATAATTATAAATATAAAAAATATTATTTTATTACCCATATTTTTATTTAATTAAAAAAAATAAGAATATAAATTTATTATTTATTTTTCATTTTTGTTTGATCATTTTAATTATTTCACTTTATTTAATATTTTTAATAAAATAAATAATATATTTTATTTAAAGTAAGCACAGTATAGAATATGCAAAAAATTTATAAATAAAAAAAAAAGATCAAACGAAAATATAGTAAATAGAAAATATTCTATTTATAGTAAATTGGTCCTAGTATTCTAATAATTATAGTAAATAGTAATTTGATCTTTTTTTTATTTATAAATTTTTTGCATATTCTATACTGTGCTTACTTTAAATAAAATATATTATTTATTTTATTAAAAATATTAAATAAAGTGAAATAATTAAAAAGATCAAACAAAAATAAAAAACAAATAATAAATTTATATTCTTATTTTTTTTAATTAAATAAAAATATGGGTAATAAAACAATATTTTTTATATTTATAATTATGTGAGTTCTAAAGTATAGATTAAATACTATATTCATAGTAGTATTCAAAATTAAATAATCAATAAAACTATATCAGTCCTATAAATAAAACACATTATTTGCGTATTTTATTATTGTGATTATTTTAAATAAAATACATCATTAATTTATTACTTATATTATTTTGCAAGTTAACTTATTGTGATCATTTTAAGTTAAAATACATTATTTATTTATCACATATGTTTTCATTTGATTAAATATATTGAATAATGTAAACTTATATCTTATATTTAAATTTATTTTATTTATTAATGTTTAAGATTAATAAGATATTTGAGAAAATTCTACTATTATGATCATTTGAAATAAATGATTTTAATCCTAGTATTCTAATAATTATAGTAAATAGAAAATATTCTGAAAATAATTCTCTATTTATAGAATTTTTATATTTTAAGTATAATATTCAAAAATTTATTAAATTGGTCTTTATATAAAATTAATAAATCTTAAATATTAATTACAAATTAAAAAAAAACATGAACAGGAAGACTTCCAAAAAGTCTTCCGGTAAACAAACGAAAAAAAGTCTTCCGATAAACATACTAAAAAAATGTGAACCGGAAGACTTCCAAAAAGTCTTCCGGTAAACAAATAAAAAAATATTAAAAAAATTAAAAAATAATAAATTTTTATACGAGGATATTTTGGTCCAAAATTTTTTAATGTAGGGGTATAAGTATAAGTATAGGGGTATGTGGTAAAACTTCCGTGAATATAAGATCAATGACAAAGACACTCTACGGGTTTTTTTCTGCCAAGCATACAAATTTACAATGCATTTAGATTTGAGACCAATTGTGAGCCAAAGCCAAAAAGAAAGTTTTATCTTATCCACCACTTAACTCCCATTTTATGTTTGAAAAGAATTTTGCGTTTTGCATTTATGAACATTGTTTTGAGTTCATTGATGTTATTCGAGATTTTTTTTTTAGTTTTTATTTTACTAAACAATTTTTCAGTTCTTATATAGAATAAAAACATTTCTTTTATACTGACCAAAATTGAATAAAAACTTCATATTAAATCACAAAAAATAACGGAAATTCTAGCCGCCTAATATGTATTTTCAATGTGTCTAGACATAAACTCCCCTAACATTTTATTTTCAAACTGTATTACTATGTTGGATAATCTGTGGTTCTCAGAAACCTGGTTTCCTTTGCATCATAAGAGTCAGTTTATTTAGATTTTGTTCAATACACTTCATACATTACACATTCATCTCTGCAGTCAAATCAACCATGCAATTGTAACTAGCAAAATCATAAAAACAGCACAGTCCTTAAAATGCTTATCTAAGATACAACAAAAACCTGCAAAATAAATGCATGTAATCTAAAATAAGTAACACAAATTTGAGAGATAAAACTTTGATTAACGGTAATCTAAAATTTAGGAAGATCTAAAAACCCTTCCAATGGAATCAATAATCCTCCACTGAGATTCAAGTATCATACGAATCCTCTTATTCTCCATCTCTAACCTAAACCTCTCTGTTTCCTTCATCATCTCCATCTTCATATTTTCCAGTCCAACTATCCTCTCCGCAAAATTTCTCAACTCCGCCGTCAACTCCGTCGCCATCGCTCCTTCCTCTTCCTCCTCCTCATCATCATCAGGTTTCTGGTGAAGAATATTATGAATACTCCTTGACCTAGCACTCTGATTTTGATTGTTCCCTCTCTCACCATCGCTATAGTTGTTGTTCTCGTGAGGAAGAACTCGAACGGAGATAGGGAGAGGACCGCGTTCGAGATCGTCCATGAGGCGAAAATACTGCCAGGATCGGGTAGAGGCAGCGGAGGAAGTAACGGTGAGGCGGTGCTTTTCAGATCGGTGACGTTGACGGAGTTTTTCCATCTTGTGACGACATTGGAGGGCGGTTTTAGATGGATGATTGTAATCGTAACCGCATCGGGCAGCGACGACAACGGCGACCTCTTCCCACTGACTGCCGCGGAGTGGGCCGCGTTTGAGGGAGTACCATTTTTCTTGGTAGGCTCGGATGAGGTTAAGGGTTTCTTGGTGGGTCCATGGGATGGGTTGGGGTTTCTTTGGAGGTGAGGAAACGGTGAGTTGTAGGGAGGAGGAGGCGGTGTTGGTGGTGGTCATTAAATTTGATAGGGTTTTGTGGAATTTGTTGTGTGGTGGTGAGTGGTGTTATAATGTGAGTTGGGAAAGTGGAAGTGGGTTTTGGGTTTGGTTGGGAAGTGATCGCGGTGGTTGGTTTGGTTGGTCTGTTGGGTGGACAGTGACTAGATAGCAACGTGTGTAGTGTAGACAGTGGGTTGAGCTTCTGCTACTTTCTAATCCTAATCTGAAAATTTTTCACGCTACACAATAATTTCTTATGTCGGAAAAAATCACAATAAAAAATAAAACTCTCACTTAAAATTTTTTAACACTAATTGTTCAGAGCTAATTTCGAGCTTAAAATATTCGATTAAGCTGAGAGACCCTTTGCCATCTCGTCCAAATACCTAATGAGCTTCTTTGGAGAATCTTTTGTGCATATAAGAGCATTTTTAACCTTGAATTCGAACTTTGGTTTTTTTTTTATCATTAAGACCGATTTTAACTTCAATCAACTCTAAAAAATTTATATCACAACTTTATTTTATATATTAATATTTTATTAAAAAAAAATTTTTTTAATAAGATTGACATGAAATAAAATATATAAAAAATTTTAATTTAATTTTATTAACTATAACATGAAATGGTAATTCTTTGATACTAAAAAATTTAAGTTAGATATCAATATTTTTAGTACAAATTATTAAATTTTAATTTATTTTACAATAAGATAAATCGTGACATGAAATTGAATTGAATTATATTATATTTTTGGTTGAAAGTATTGATAATCAATTAAATTTAAAGGAACTTACATGTTCAACTTAAACAAATAAAATTCAACTTATCTTTTTATAAAATCATAATATATTTTAATCATATAAAATTCTAAGAAAAAAATTAAAAATTTAAAACACAAATATAATTGTAGAAAAGTTTGAGTATAATTTTTTTTAAATAATTACAATTTATAAGAAATTGATAGTTTGTAAAATGAAAAATAAATATAGTATTATAAATAATCAAATAATTTATTAAATATTTTTTCATAAAGCCAATGTATAGTGCAAATATCACTGCTTCGTTGGTCATTTTGCAATCATTTAAATCCGTTCTTTAGAAAAACTAACCATGAATCTTTCATTGGAGTCGCTCTAAGATGAGTTTATTCCATCCAACTAAATTTTTTCTATGCACCAAAATCAAAGAATAAAGAAAAAAAAGACTAATTTTAAACACTTCAATTTAGTAAATCGATTTTAAAACCATTTTTTATGCTCTTGTCGTCATATTTTAGCGAGTAACTTGGTCAATATAAAATAAAAAATGTTTTTGAATTTAGTGAATTGATTGTCCTAATATATTTTTTTTAAAACATGTTCAAACTCAGACACTAGCAAAAAAAAATATATCTATGACAAAAAGTTATATAAAATTAACTTCAATTAATAAAGACGACAATCTTCTTTAACTTTTTATGTAAAAATCATTTAAATACATTTTTATCCCTCTGATTGTTTCTCCATATATTTGTATCCTTTAATTTGAATTAAACTACCGTTTGAACTTCAAAGCAAAAATAAATAGTCATTGATTTGAGAAGTGATAGTCTTACATTTCCAAAATGAAATGTACAAAAGTAATTGCCATTTTTCCTTCCATCTTTTCTATACTCAAGTTTTAAGTAACCAATATGATGGAGCTGAACATTTAGAGCAATTTGTATGATTGAATCATTGATTGGTTGAGGGAGAGCTATAAACATAAAAGTGGTGTGTGGTTTGCTTGCATTTGGACTAGGCAAAAAATGGGAAAGCATTCTGCCACAATGACGTGAGAGTGGAAAAAATAGTAGCAGAAGCAAAAATCCTATTAGGAAATCGGTTGAAAACTAAAGCCAATGGTCTCAATTATACTATTTCTTGATGGTGCTTGAACCTGCGTGAATGTCTAGGACCGATTTAGAAAATTTTAAGGAAATAATATTTGTTATACTGTTGAAGCATTTTGGTAAGTACAAAATGAAAAGTAGCAGAGAACTTGGGATTTGTTCATTTGTGGGATGAATGGAATAATGCAGTAGAAGGAGTATGAAGAGAGCAACTAAACTGCCATAGGAATTTATTTTGCAAAGACAAAATTACTAGTTGTCCACATAAAATTATAGTTGCTAAAGACATAATATAGTTGTCCTTAAAAGCGAAGCAATTAAAGAAAAGAGAACCTTATAGTATCTTTTGTGTGTAGAAAGGATTAGTTGTTAATGACACAGTATTCAATGTAATGGGAGATCTTCAAGTCTTGAACCATTCATGAAAGCAGACAATCAGATTCTTTGCTTTCTTCCGGTAAGGATTAAGGTTTAAACATCATAAAATGTCAAGAATCTGCAATATGTTAAACATATATATCTTTAAGAGTAATTAAAGAATCATGCTAAAAGTTGATATACTAACTTTCTTGGTCTGAAAACATCTATACATCCGAACAAAATTCAACGAATTCAAACAGGGATGAATTGCATTTGATACTGATATATTCAAGCAAATTTGATGAGAGTTGACAAACAAACTTACTTGCATTGGCATCTCTTGCATGACAATACCGGTGCTTTCTTCAATACTCTTTAGAGTTACCACTTCTCCACCGACAACCATATTGATAACAATTCCATCTGCACATTAGTTAGGAACCTAATCAATGATGCAAAAATCTAAACTATCACTTAATAAACCGTAGAACATGGCAGCAAAAAAGGACCAGCTGTTAGACAAGCTGCCAAACGCCTTCCATATGTTTCCTGAATGAAAAAGAAAAATGGAAATTATGAGAATGGGAAGTGAATCATTAGTGTTGGAGAGAGATACAATATGGAAACACAGATACACACCACTTTCACGACACATAAATCACAAGACTAGCATTCTTCTTCAGTTCAAAAAAACAAAATGCGGCTTGGTATAAAGATTCTTGAGAAACAAAAATCTAACTAAAGAAACAAAAGAAACCTTATAGAAGAACAGAGAAACTATAAGAGTCCACCTTTGATATACATGAACTTATGTAATGAATAAAAAAATAATCATCACAAATGCCAACTCGTACAATCTCAGGAACAAAAGAAACAACGGCACATCATCCAACAGGCAGTTTTTGCTGCTTTATACAGTTGATTAATCGACAAAGAATATTTGGTGCACGCAACAGGATATTAGCCAAGTGACACCACAGAGTAATAATATAGTGAAGATTGAGGAAAGTAAAATAATATGATAAGGCACAATAAAACAGAAACTACAATCATCACAACGTAATAGAAACTTTCATGGTATATGTGAATTACTGAAAGGTTATAAAAAGTACAATACCTTTTTAGCCGGTAACTCATAATTAATGAGAAGATGTGCATTCATCGGAGACTCCCCGGAAGTAAGAAGAGGAAGGCAAGCATCTGTGACAATAACCATATGAGATCTATCATCTTTCCCAACATCATCCTCATTTCCTGCTCCAGCATGATTAACCTGATTCCACTTTGTCGCAACTTGACAAAACTTGTCTAAAACAAAAGCCCGCTCATCTTCAGCAAGGTCACTATACTGACGAGACATGGCAAAGAAAACATAGTCGAGCGAACAACAAAAAGTCAGCAAGGATGAACACAAAAACATCACTCAAAACACATAAACAAATCTAAATACTAGTGACCACCAATGTGGTCGGTGAAGAGATCTTAAGTAGGATCGTTCAGCTTGTGATCGTAAAACTCAAATTGTTAGCAAGGCATGTAAGATCATACCGAAGGGAAAAGCGGTAATTTCATGCATGAAAATCACGATCCAGGCCCAAAAAATAGACCCAACACATTTTTTTACAATATTGCTTCAAAAAGATTGATATTGACCACGGAGGTGACGAAAACGATATTTCTCTGATCGTAGTAGCACTCTCAGGCATCCTTAGCATGTAAGACCTTCCGATCGTACACTCGATATTGACTACACAGTTAGTGACATTTATCCATATATCTATATATCTATGGAAGTAAATTTTTGCACTAATGACATGTGGCACAATTTAACACCCTATTTTTCGTCATTTTTCCTTAAATCCATTGTCAGATATTTATTAGTTATTTAAATACTTAAAATTAAAAGCACATGTATGTATATGAACAAGTTAAGTCCCTTTAGATAAACAGCTTAAGTGTTTATCATATAAGCGCTAATGTATAAGCTATTTGTATAATAACTCAATGCAAACAGCGCTAAATCCAAAAGAAATTCAGAAGTAAAATAATTATAAAAAAAAAATAGGAAAGGGGTGATGAAAAGTACCAAAGCGGAAGAGGAGATGAAAGGGAGAGGTGAAAGAGAGGAGCAGAGAGAGTCAAGGTCATCGCGAGTACTGCAACAGACAACAATGGGTAAGCAAGAACGGCGACCCACCAAATCGAGAAGATCAACCAACGTTTGCTGCAACGAAACAAACAATTATGAATTATCGAAAATCAAATTCAAAAAGTGTAATCACAAAAGTGTTGAATATGATGGTACCATTTTGAATTGAAGCCTGTCAACTGCGAGGTAGAAATGGCGCGGGTGGCTGAAGATGGAAAAAGAGAAAAGGGTTGAGAAAGATGAAATTGAGAGGAGAGATAGAAGGTGGTGGAGAATGAATGAATGAAAAGTACCCGATCTGATACTGAGACGGAGACGGTGGAGACAGAGAATCTATGCTATCCATAACCATCTTCCTCGCTCGTTTACAATCTCCTCTTTCTCTCTCACACTATTACACACGGGGAGTATTTGATTCGAATAAACTAAAATTAGATACTTTGTTTACTTTAAATATGAAATAAAATAAAAATGTGATTTGTTATTTAACCTTAAAATATTATTCTCTCCATCTCAAAATAAATAAAATAAAAATGTGATTCGTTATTTAACTTTAAAATATTATTCTTTCCATCTCAAAATAATTTATTTTTAGGTTATTGCATCTAGATTAAGAAAAATAATGATTGAATAATTAAATATAATAATTTTATTAAACTATCATTAATTATTATTAGTTGTCTTAAAGGTGTAATATGATGTGATATCTTAAACTTATTTAGTTTTGAAGTCCCTTAACATAATTTCAATTTTCACTTTAGTCTCTTATATAATAAACATTAGAATGTAATCCCTTAACAATCGTTATGTTAAACAACTTGATTCATTCTGTTAGTTTTGTTGTGAAAACGTTAAGTATGCTGATGTGGCATGCCAACAAAGATTGAAGTTCATTTGTGACTCGACATATTGTATTTTATAAACTGTGTAACCTAATTCTTTGTCCAATGCAATATTTTCACGTTAGGTTACTATTCATCATCTTCTTCCTCTTTCTTCATTCCTCCACCTTCTTCATTCATATGTGAACATGTCAATAAACTCCAGCAACAAATTAAAATCAAACACCCAAAGTTATGGGTCATTTGGATATGTTGTGATAAGAAAGAAAAGGATGGAGTGTTAGTGTGAAGAAGAGTGTGTTATGCGTACTGTTACGGATTTGAATAGTGTCAACATTGGGAAAACGTTTTGGGGTTGTAGAAATCACAGAAATCAACTGGAGAAGGGATGCAATTTTTTCAAGTAAGTAGGAGATGAAGTTGTTGATGGAAGGGATTTGAAAATTGAAAGGCAAAGGAAAAAAATATTTAAGTTGAAGGATGAGGTCTTGAGTACAAGAGGAATGTTGAAAAATACATTTTTATTTGGCATTATTAGTTTAGGGTTTAATATGGTTTTTGTAACAATGTATTTGAAATAGACTTGTGGGCAATAGAACGTGTAATTTGATATTATTAATGTAAGAATGTTTGATTGTGCTTAAATAAAATGGGTTGAATGTTATAAATTTTTGTTCGATGTTTAAGCATTTCTATTATGGTATGATATTGTTGGTTTGTAATGGTTATATGATAACATCTAGTTGAACAAAATATTGTTTTGACAAAAACTTTGTTTTATAACTGGTCTGTTATGGATCAATGATAACATATAGTTGAACGAAATATTTCTTTAACAAAATATTATGGATTATAATTGGTCTGCTATGGATCTATTGTTTTAACTGGTATGATATTGTTTTATAACTAGTCTATTCTGCATTATAAAAAACAAGTTGATGAATCATGTAAATAACAAGTTGATATTGCTTTAACAAAATGTTATGGATATTGCTTTAACAAAATATGTTCCTTTATAAAAGCATGTGTTTTTGTCACTGATACAAAAAGGCAATGTAATAGCATGTGTTCTTAACACTGGTACAAAAAGGACAGTGACACAAAAGGGCATTTGTTCTTTGCCACCAATACAACAAGGCCTAAGTTAGTTTTCACAAAAGCCTAAATAAAGTGTTCACATGACACTGAGTTACACAAACATGAAAATCAAAAATGGATCAAGTTGCTTCAAGTTGAGTTGATGATGCATGACTTGCTTCAGGGAGACTTGCTTCAGGCTGACTTGGTGTAGGAAGACTTGCATCAGGCTGAGATGCTTTAGGCTAACTTGGACCAGGCTGACTTGGTTCAGGTTGAGTGGTCTGACTTGGACCTGGATGTTTGCAAGTTGCTTTGTTGTGCCCCATCATGTGGCATCTACTGCACTTGATGCCAAAATTAGCTCTTTTTAGCTGAGTGTCACCCCTTATGCTCTTTGAGGCATCTCTAGTCCTCTTCTTCTTTGGCCTCTCTGGTTGCCTTTTGATTAGTGGTGATTGTAGCTCAACATAACCTTTTTTCTCCCAAAGTGATTCCCCATTGACTGGAAAAATGACAAATGCATAGAATGCTTCATACATTTGTTTCTTGTAGCACTCAGGCACATAGCTTTCAATCTCTAATTTTTGAGATTTCATGCAAGATATAGCATAACAGTATGGTAAACTTGTCAGCATCCATTTTCTACAAGAACAGACCTTGGTTGACAGATTCACAGTGTATTTTTCTCCATTATATGAGATGTGTCTCACCTCATAGTCGTACTCTCCTACACGCCTGTTAAATTGACAAGAACTTAGTCACACAGCATAATCAACAAATGTAAAACAAACATTTAGATGAACAAATACCTCACAATTCAGCTGTTTGTTTTTTCATATTCTTTTGCAATCTTTTTCTTGATATTGGGTAGAATATCACCTTCAAACTTGGCAATTTTTTGTCTTTTTGACTCCCATATTTGCATGAGATATACTCTGATTTCTTCAATCATTGTTATGATTGGCTTGGACCTAGCTATCACAAACACCGAGTTGAAAGCCTCTGACATGTTGTTCACTAGGGTATCACACAAATGATTGGTTTTGAAGAAAGCCTTGGTCCAAAACCTAGCTAGTAACATTATTAAATGCTTGAAGGCTTCTACATTAACAACTTTCATTTCCAACATTACTTTTTTCAAAAGCATTTGTATAATTGGTTGTAGCAGCTTTTCACATTAACTCCTTGAGTTTAATTCCTGAGAATTTATTCATAAAATTGCTGTATAGATGCCTTCATTTATAGACCAGTCATTAAGTTTTAATAAGTATGCAGTAGTTGTTAAGGTATATAAGTATGCAACAATTATTAAGGTATATCAGATGTAGCAGTTATTAAGGTATATCAGTATGCAGCAGTTATTAAGGTATATCAGTATGTAGTAGTTATTAAGGTATATACCTAACACAAAATCTTTGGTCCAGTTGTGGGAGCAGTTCATCTAGAGCTGGTAACAGTCGCTATATATAAGTATGCATCAGGCATCAAATGGAACTAATCAATTATTGAAACAAACAACAAATTAAATAAATTAATTAAATAAGTACCTTTTGTTGGTCACTTATAAATAAGTATCTTCAAAATTGATCTCTAATGCGCTATCATCACTACCACCATATTCTACCTCTCTGTTAGAGTTCAGTCCCTCTATTCCCTCTATGTTACAGTTCTCATTCTCTTCTACTTCACATTCTCCATCATTGTTACAGTTCAGTCCCTCTTCTCTATCATTGTTACAGTTTAGTCTTTCATCTCCATCATTGGTACAATTCAGTCCCTCTTTTCTACCTTTTTCAATTACAGTGGCCCCCTCATCATGCTCAATTTCAGTGGTCCCCCTATCTCCAACTTCCACATAACGTACAACATTTGTGGTCCCCTTGTCTCCAACTTCCACATCATGTACAACATTTGTGTTCCCCTTGTCATTTATTTCTCCTCCTTCCATATCAACTTTAACCTCATCCATAACACTCTCAAAGTCAGTTGCAAAATTTTTAGTGTTGTCTCCTACATTCTCAACACAAATGGTCCCCTCTTCAATGTTCTCACCTAAATCAGTTTCAGTGGCACCTACATCAACACTATACTCAAGTGATAGTATTGGTTCCTCAATTACATTAGGTTGTAGGATAGGATGTATAACATATAAATGAACTTCCTCAATCAACACAACAATTGTATGCATCCTCCTAGTCCCATTATCATCTTTCAACTCCACAATGTTATTACACTCCATTTGATCATAATACCAAAGGCTCTATATAGTTGGATAACCTAAATCCTTTAACCCACCTAACACTTCAAAGTCACTCCAAAAATCAAGCTCAACATCCCATGTTTCCTCTAACCCATTATAACCTATTTTCGTTAACTCAGCAAATTCACCCCCATAATGAACAAAGCATTTAAAACGACTCTCCATGACCTAGATACAACAACTATATGAGATTCAAAGCTAACGCAAATGAAAACCCCTAAATGAGAACTAAAATAAATGAAGGGGAAGAATATAAAGTTTGCATCATTTGTACCTCAAAACAGATGGTGGGCCTTGTTCCTCTTTCACTCGGTATCAAATAATACATAAACCCTAAAATGAAGAAGAACAAAAATGATAGATTCCAAACTGATGATGAACAAGGTATTATAAATGTATGATTACCATACCTTGACGGAAAAAATGAAGGGTGATGATAGCCACACGAACGAAGATGAAGATGGATGCTAATGGTTGCTTCGTTAGGGTTTCCAGCAAAGAGAGCTCAACTGAAGATGAAGTGAAGTCAAAATGAAGTAAAAAGGGTTAAAATGAAACGTTGAAAATTCACAATTTTTTTAATCAAAATGTCAAACCATGAATCCATATCACCTTATGAAAGCCAGCTGGAATGCCACCCTAGCAAAAACTAACGGAAATACACACATTGGATAACGGAATCACAATTAAAGGACCTGACACTAACGTTTATTACATAAGGGACTAAACTGAAATATAAATTAAGTTAAGGGACCAAAGGGTGCATTAAACCAATATCTTAAAAGTTATGTAGACAATATTTATTAGGAGTAAAGTTGGTAAAAATTAATTATTATTGCCTTAAAAACGTAAAAAAAACACTTATTTTGGGACAAATTTCTTTGACTGTAAATACTTTTATTTTGGGACAATATTTAAAGTTTTTTAAGGTTATGTTTGGATATTTAAAACTAACGAAGCGGAGAGGAAAGAACAGAGAGGAATGAAATAAAAATGTCGTTCTATTGTTTGAGTATTTTATGACAGAATATAGAGATTTTGTCATTTTGTCCAAATCGAAGGGTACAAAAAATGATGGAAAATGATGGAATGAGATTGAATGCATTCCATTCGGTTCTGCTCCATTTCATCCTTTTCTAATCAATCCAAACAAATGAAACTTAAGTTTAT